ATTTTGTAAGGCTTTGACTGCTGTAGATAGTGATTTCTCTGACAGATCTGGGCAAAGTCAGTTGAAAACCTGCTGGAAAGGACTGTTTTTAACAACCGATGTCATTTAGAATATTCGTGATTTGTAAGAAGAGGTCAAAAGGGCAACATTGCCAGCAGTTTGGAGAAAGTTGGTTCCAGCCCTCGTGGAGGACTTTGGGGATCGAGGCTTCAGCAGAGGAAGTAACTGCAGATGTGGTGGGCATTGCAGGAGAGCTAGCTAGAAGTGGAGCCTGGGGCCTTCCCTGGCTGTCAGTGGTTAAGACTCCGAGCTCCCAATGCAGGGGGCCCAGGTTCGATCCCTGCTCGGGGAACTAAGATCCCACATGCCGTGGAGCAGCCAGCAAAGAGCCAATGGGCAGATGGGGCCCAGTGCTGCCTCTCCTCTCCTGATGAAACTTTAATGGGTGAGGAGTCGCTTATGGATGAGAAAAGACAGTGGTTCCTTGAGATGGAATCTGCTCCTGGTGAAGATGCTATGAAGACTATTGAAATGATGACAGAGGGTTTAGAATATTACATAAACTCATCTGCTAAAGCAGCGGCAGGATTCAAGAGGACTAACTCCAATTCTGAAAGAATATCTGTGGGTAAACGCTACCAAGCAGCACTGCCGACTGCAGAGAAATCATTTGTGAAAGGAAGAGTCAATCTATGAGGCAAACTTCACTGTTGTCCTATTTTAAGACTAAGATGGCCACCCCAAAATTTAACAGCCACCACCTTGATCAGTCAGCTGCTGTCAACATCCAGGCCAGACCCTCTACCAGCAAAAAGCTTATGACTTGCTGAAGGCCAGAGGATTGTTAGCATTTTTTTAGCAAAAAAGTATTTTTAAATTAAGTATGTACATTGTTTTTTAGACATAATGCTATTAGTAGACTATAGTATAAACAGAACTTTTATATGCACGGAGAAACCAAAAAAATGTGTGTGACTCTCGTTATGGTCTGGGACCAAACCCGCCCAATGTCCGAGGAAAGCCCATATCAGCCTAAATGCACACAGATGCACAGTGAAAAAGGGCAACCTGAGAAATATCTCCTCACTTGGTATTACATAAATATTCTGGCTACATTCTGCTGCCAGAGTAATTGTAAGCAGACAGAGGAAAAAGAAGGTAGGTTACTCTTCCAGTGTTGATGACTTTGGACAGTGAGAAAGATCAGAATATCTGTTGTTAAAAGTAAACTTATGTATTTGGTGTATATAAAAGAGTATCAGGTTTGAGGGAAAGTGCTTGGCAACCCAGAGGCGATGATTTTTCAGAAACTTAAGGTGAGTGGCAGAAAAGTTGAGGCATTTCATTCCATTTGGAAGGTGTGTTTCATGCCAATAGCAGACTTCTTTTCTAGAATATTCAGAGTAACAGTTAAGTCAGGATGTAGCAGACCTTGCCACTGCGTCCTCAGCATCCCTTCTTCCTCTTGTCATCTGAGTGCCCTAGTTTTTTTTCAGTATCCACACCACCCACTTACACCCCAGCGACTTCAGGGAAAGCCAGCTCCACTGTGCTCTGGGATGGAGCATGTGGCCAGGGCTAAGCCCATCCCACCCTGGCCGCAGCAGCTGGCTCAGACAGGAGCATGTGACCCAGGCTTGCTGGGGAGTTCTGAGGAAATGTACAAGCGAAAAGTTGACAATTATCTTGTGACCACGAGGAGGAGCCAGCCATGGGATGAAGGCACTGGAAGAAAGATGAAGATGTAAAGATACTTCATGAAGACACAGTGGAACTGCCAGCTCCT